TAAATATCAAAATAGTTCCAGATTAATCTGTTCGTTGCTTTGCTCATTGTTGATTTATTTCTAATTTAATTTTACCTCAAACTATAATTATATGTTAAAAAAGAAAAGTTTTTATTTCATCGGGCGCTCTTTTTATAAAAGAGTAGAACAAAAGAGAAAGAAAAGTTTCGCGCACTTAAACTTTGAATGAATAAGAATTGTATAGAATATATTTTTTTTTTTGCTTCACTCATTCTTTTTTTAGATGAGAGAAATAAAAGTTTAATAGTAAATTTTCTTTGAATAAATGAGAATTGGAAGAGAAAATTGCTTGAAAATTTGTATTTGTTAATTGTGTTTTTAAAAATTTTTAATTTTTCATGTTAAGAGACAAATGCCAATTACGACACAAATTTGGAAATATCAAATATGTTTTTTAATCCGCGTTATGACATTTTAACAATTTAAATTACCATCTATCTTGAATTATTGCCTTTAATTAATGTGTTGATTATTGCGTTATTTAATAATAATTTGTCTGTATTTTTGTTAAATATTAGTTGTATAAAACAGGCGAAAATATACAAATTTTATGTTTTTTATTTGATGGTTATAAAATATTGAACAGTAAACTTATAATCAAAATTTCTAATGCCGACTTGTGTTGCAATTAATTGTACTTTTAATGCAAAATCAGGATCTCACAAATCCTTTCACGAATTTTCATATCTGATACTACTGTCAACTGTATTGTTTAGTGTATTTGTACTTTTGTACTTTTTTTTCATAATCTTAACAGGTTCTAATTGGTATAGAGTTGCTGACACTTTAAAAATTTCATTATCAAAAATCAAATGTAAAATAAAATGGTATTTCCTTTTTATCCATATCCAATTCAGCAAATTTAGCAATTTAAATTAAATCCGCGTGATCAAAAAAATTTTATAATAAAAAAAGTTAACAATTCATTAAATATCTCTATTAATACTGTCAGTTTATGAAATAAACTGACAGTATTAATAGAGATATTTAATGAATTGTTTAAATTATCTAATTAATACTGTCAGTTTATGAAAGTAATTGTTAATAAATACTTTTTTTCGACGGGAAAACAAAATTGTCATAGCGGAAAACACAATTGTCATAGCATAAAAATAACCAGAGAAGTTAGAAAATAGCTCCCATTGTTTAAATAAGAATAATTAAGAATCAGAGTATATAATACTGCGCTCTCTTGCGCAAAAACAAGAGACCGTATATAAAACGTTCTATATAATGTAAAATACTCGTATGAAAATCATAAGATTGGTAAGTAAAGCTTTAATATTTGTTTTAATTTAAATAATTAAAGAAATATAAGTAAGATATATAAATCTAAAAATTATTAAGATATCTGTAAAAAATAAGTTGCTCCTATAAAATAAAAATAATTTATTGTTTTTACTTTTTACAAAATTTTTTTTGCGATGTTTGGAAAAATAATACAAATAAATTTGTTTTGCTGTATGTTAAAAAAATACTACAGTAGAAAAACGCAGCTTAGTTTAATTACACTTTTCTTTTGTTAAAAGTCTACCGTGACGTCAAATACTAAAACTTTTATGAATTAAACGCGCTTCAAAGGAATTGCCAAAGTCTGTAGATTGCGACGCATAATTTGAAGACTCCGAGTAGTTGAAAAAAATGGAGAAGACGAGCTTCGGCAAAAACAACAACATTTGTTTTTCACGGTATGCATTCATTATTTATTTTTAATCAAAAAAATTTGGTTCAAACCTTTTTTTTTAACATTATCTTTAATATGAACACAACATGTGTTGGGAGTTTGGGATTCCTTTAACAGGAAGTTCACATCTCCTTCTTTACTAATGTTGTAAAACTTGCCTAAAACTGGGTTTAAAACACGATCTCTAGCATCTGACCCAATACCGCGACTACTGCGCCACAGCTGCAGTTCTTTCAGAGAATTTGCTGTAAATCAATTCTGAAAGAATTGATTTGCAGCAAGATGAAAAACATTATCCTGTAATTATAGGTAGAAATGCTTGCAATTGCAGTATTTAGAGACAGCGGTAAGCAGGTTCACCCATTGACAGCCATTTTTACTTTGGGTTACAATAAGGAACAAGAGCCACAAACTTTTTGTGACCAATTGAACTAAGCTTGGCGGCAAACCCTAATTATTTTAGATTTCATCCACCGAAGGCAGATGGATATTCTTGCACAGTTTTTGAGCAATATCACCTTTTTTTTCACATTTATCAGCTAAGGCTAGCACAATAAGACAAATGTCCATAAACTATGTGTGCTGTTTAATAGATTTAAAACCTGATTCTGCTCAAATCTGATTTTACTTCTTACTTACGTAAACATTTTAATTATAATAAAAATTACGCTTTATTAATTGTCAAAATCATTTTTTTAATACTGGAACCCTTGTATACTAAATTTACGCATTTCATATTTTTTAAATTGTGACTTAACTGACATGGTGCAATAGCGGCTAGTTCAGCTTGAGAAACCAGTAGTTTAGAAGGCAACCACAAAAGTTGCCACTTCATTAAGCTCATGTATTAATTGTTTTGTAAGATTGTCTATTTCACATCTCAAAAGCTGAAGCTCTATGTAGTAGATACCAAAAATGAACTTATTATATACATTTATTTATTAAAAGGCTAAGTATTTGTTAATATGCAACAAAATCCTTCCTTTTTCCATACAGCCAATTCCCTGCCTTTTTCCATGAATCGGGTATGGTGGACTGCTAGGGAGTACAAAACTTGTACTTGCCCTCAGAAAGCATATAAATGTAAGCTTAACATAGTACTTCTTTGTAATCCCACCCAAAAATAAAAGTAAATCAGAATATATAGGTATACTTAACTATACACAGGTTTGTATTTTTTGTGTAAAAAAGAGTAAGATATTACTTTTTGTTTCAAGAAAAATTTAGATATCTACATATATTTAATATGTACCATGTACTATTTACAGTTCTGCAACAGTTGTTTGCAATAAATAACTGAGTTTTATTTGAATTTAAATTTACAAGCCACTGTGAGCCTCAAACTGTTACAAAAGTGATATCAGATCCAAAATCAGCTGTCTGTTCTAAGCGATCAAAAAAAGAAGACATTTTTGTCAAGACAAGAGTATAAAGTTGAATCATCAGCAAAAAGAGCTTCTTTAGATGTAAGGTTGTCAAGAAGATCATTATTCTTAATAAGAAATAAAACAGGACCAAGAATAGAAACTTGAAGTACCCCAGAAGTTACTGGAAATAAAGAAGAGTGTTGACCTTCGAGGATGACTTTAATAAAGCAGTTAGAAAGAAACGATTTGATAAACTTAAAAACTTTTCCAGATACACCATATGAAACAAGCTTATGGAAAAGACCAGAATGCCAGCAAGACCAACAAGTTGTTTTATATTTACACAAGAGCTTGTTATGTTGACAAAACAACTTCTCAGTATTGTTTCACTGCTGTTTTACAATAACTACTCATCACTCTTAAAATAAAACGTGTTTTATCATCAGGATGAAAGGGGGTATTAAATAATTTTCTATAACTAAGTAAAAATGGTTTAAGTATTGTAAGATTTGAGTTTTTACATTAAAATTATCAAATAATCATGTAAAGTAAAAACAATTACTAAAAGTAATATCACAATAGTATTAAATACTTTACCTGCTCATTACACTTTAACTGCAACTTAGACTTTAAAATATAACTTAGGGGCTGTCCTTTCAATATGTCAACAATTTTTTGACAATTTCAACCTCACCTCCACCCCTGTTTTCCTTTGTCAACAACATGTAAAATTACATTAACAATTGATAAATCACCCCCCTCCTTAAAAATTAAATTAATACAACACTTCAATGCGCCAATCCTTCTCACTTTAACATTAGAGCTAATCCATTTTTACAGTGAATGCCAATTATTTCTAATAGAGTCTAGTATAACAAAATATGTGTTAAACAAATTGTATAAACAAGGGTTCGACAACCTTTTGTGATGGAAGAGCCAGAACAGTACTGTTGCCATATCTGGAGCGGATCTTCAAATGATGCTCTTTCTCTTTTAGACAAGGTACAAAAAGGCACATAATTCGACTTGCACTTGCAACCAACCTTGAACCATCACATCATCGCAGTGTTACTTCTTTTTATATTTTTATTTCTCTTCCAGTAACTACAAATTCTAATAGTTGTTGCTTGAAGCCTTGTAGAAAGTGTAGATGTTAAATTTGAAGAAAAAAAAAAAGCTTCAATATACAAAGTTTAAATATCATATTAATATTTGCACATGGAACTAAAAAGCCTCATCTTGACATTGAAAAAACCACATGAGGCTTGCGAGCTGCAGATTGTACCCCTGGTATAAATGTTTAAATAATATAAACTATGTACTTACTTTAAAAAATATAAACTATGTAAATCTTTTTTGTTTGAACAGAAGATGAACTAACAACAACTTTGAAAAAATATTAACGTTAAAAGTAAACATCTTGTGTGTGCTTATTTAATTCTGTCTTTTTAAAGCACAGCACGGTTTATAAAAAGTAGGAACATAAATAGCTTCATTAAAATATGTAGGTTGAGCAAGTCTCTAACACAGGACTACAAACACTGCTTAATTTTCCTTTTTTTAAATAAAATATATAAGAAAATTAAAATTGATGTCAACTTGTTTTGACACACACACACACACCCCACTCCCTTCTTCCAACATTAGTGAGTATTTTTATTATTCTTTTTAACACTAAAAAGATTATCTTGTAAGGTCGATAAGCTTTTCCTACCCTTACCCACAATCAAACTAGAAGTTTTATCAGAGCTTTTTATCTCAAAGGTTAGTCAAGCCTAGCCTGCCCTAATTTAGTATCAGTTAAATATCATGACCAGATTGTTATGAAATAAATTATCAATATCAATCAACAATCTTATGAAGTAAATCAATGTTACAAAGTCACATGACCATAAAAGAAATAAAATTTAAAAATTAAATTTAAATACCTTGCTATCAATTCCAGTTGTAAAAACCATCTTCTCATCATTATATATTGCAACAGCTAATACATCAGCAAGATGTGATTTAAAAGATTGTAGCAATGTCCCAGTCATTCCATCCCAAAACTGTGTGTTTCCCAATGAGTCACCTGTTATAATAGTAGAATCTTTTAAAAAATTAACAGACCACACCATTGTTCTATTTGATTTAAGATTGTCAGTTGTCATTGTCACAGATACACGCCCACTTTTAACATTGTACACTCTAATTTTGCTGTCAAAACCACCAGCAGCAATCAATAAATCATCATGACTCCATGATAGCGATAAAATGCGATGCTCTTGTTTGTTTAAGCATCTATTATACATTATACCATTTCGTAAAACATCAAATAAACGAATGCTTCCATCTTCACACCCTACAGCAACAATTTTCTTTGAATAACTAAACTTTAAACTCCATACAGATCCGCCATATGAATCTTGTTGATAAAGTGGTTTTAATAATTCAAGATTCCATTCAATAATTTCACTATTCATTCCACCAGAAAATAGCCTACCATCACACCACGCTAAATGTTCAACAGTGCGACCCTCTTGACCCGGTATAGTATTAATCAGTGTCCAATTACAAGCAGGGTCTCTGATTTCAATTGACCCATCTTCTCTTGAAAATGCTACTTTAGGAAATTTGCTGTCATTATCAAAAGCTGCACAATTGATTGATCTAGGTTTATAATCAACAAATCTTACTCTGTGAACTTTGTAATTTGACATCCTTAAAATTAATTTATATTAATTAAAACAAACATAAGTAAAACCAATCAAATCAGGTGGGATAAAATTGAAGAATTGACCAAATCTATATCAATAATTGACCAAATCTATAACAACAACCAATCAATAAAAAATACTTGAATACAGTAAACATAATTATTTTATATATTAGCCAAATAACTGTATTATATTAACTAAAGTAACTTTCTTTTAAAAACAAACACTATATATATATATATATATATATATATACATATATATATATATATATATATATATATATATATATATATATATATATATATATATATATATATATATATCAGGGGTCAACCTTATTTGACAGCGCCGACTGTATTTGGGCGCCTATTTGGGCACCGCCAAAATTAAAATTTGAGGACCTTTTTTTTCACATTTTTAACGTCAAATATTATTTTTGCGATATATATATATATATATATATATATATATATATATATATATATATATATATATATATATATATACAGTGCTTGAAGTGGAGAAAAAAAAGTAACGAGATGGTATTTGGTAAATTAAAAATACCATCCTGCTTAATTATTGCTATATATAGAGATTTATAAAAAAGGTGGCGAGATGGTTTATACTTTATAAAAAGGTGACATGATGATATCCCGCCACATCCCACCTCACTTCGAGTAATGTATACAGGCCTCGGCGGGAAGCGAGAGCATTAGCTTACGCTTCCCGCTGAGGCCTTTATACAGTGTATACTTACTCACTGTACTTTATACAGTGTTTCCTAGCTTTTACACATTTTATGTGAATTATACAAGAATATAAAATAACTTTATTTACTTATATAAGCATGTATTTTGTTGATTAATGAAAAAGTTTTAAAGCATTTTGTAATATTCATACCATTAATTTTTATAATTAAACTTACGATTTTTTTAAATGTTTTAAACATTTTATTTTTTGTAAACTTTTTTTTTTTCAATTATGTTAGGAATGAATGAGTTTAAATCTTTTATAATAATTTTTAAATTCATTTTGTGAAGCGCTTATTAATAAAGTTGTAAAGTAAAATGCTTGTTAGCAGTTTATTTTATTTAAATCGCAGGCGGATTTTTTTTTTTTTTTTTCTTTCTATTTTTTACCATTAAAAAAGTTGAAAACCTTTTTTTAATTACATTTACTAATTAGAGCATGAAATTAGTAAAAATTACTATTTTGAAAAGACTTTATTATTTAAAAAGAATTTGAAAACTTTACTATTTTGAAAAATTTGTTCATTTATTAAACCAATCATTAGTAGTAATTTGTTTGTAGTAATAACGTTTAAAAAGATAAGCTTTAATAACGTTTATTTCATATGTAATTAAAAACGTAACAAAAAGTTTCGCTTCGAGTTTAAGTTTTTATTTTCATTTTAGTGCTTATATAATTTCTTTTTTGTTATGAATTTGTTTTTCGTTTCTTTTTTTGTTAAGAATTTTTTTTTGTTGGTTTTTTTAATTTTTTTCCTTTAAGTTTAGCTTAGAATTTCTACATTCAGAGCATTTCTAAAATTTTTAAATCATCAAAACATATAAACAATCGTGGTCATGTTGTCAAAAAATAAAATCATTTGTGTGGTCAGCAATAGCGCTCAATCGCATGTCATCCCTGTCCAAGCCTGATATATATATATATATATATATATATATATATATATATATATATATATATATATATATATATATATATAATATAAAATAAAAAACTTTAGAAAAGATCAACAATTAAAAGATATTTCAGTTACAGAGTGTGATCGCACGCCATTCCTGTCCAAGCCTATATATATATATATATATATATATATATATATATATATATATATATATATATATATATATATATATATATATATATATATATATCAGGCTTTCCCAGGAAAGGCGTGCGGTCGCACGCCTTGTTTGTCCACGCATAATATAAATTTTTCTGACTAACTGACCACGTTATGTTATTATGCGTTTCAAAAATTCGCGCCAAAACAAAGCTAAACGAAAATACCGCAAAAATGCAAGCAATCTTAAAGTAAATAACAGAAATCTGTTTGTGCTTTAAAATTAAAAAATTAATGCATATTATTAAAAAAAAAAATTTACCTATATTTTATTTATTTATATAAATATTTTTTTTAGGGTGGTAGTTATTTTAGCTATGAAAAATAGAAAAATAAAATCAAAAAAAAAAAAGGTTATAGTTTAATGAAAATAAAAGTTTTAATGTAAAATTTGTTTATGACTTTTATCAGTCAGTAATACTTTAAAATTTTGTTATGTTTAAAATCTCAAATAATATATTTAATAATTAAAACAGCAATTTATTTTCTTGTCTAAGTATTGGGGAATAACATCATCGCCTTTGCATAAACCTTCGTAAAAACTAAATTAAATGAAAAAATTTAACTAAACTTGTCTAGCGTAAATAATGAATCAGTTTTTTAATACGTTGTCTGATAAAGTTCGTGAATAAATTACGTATCAAGTTTTTTTATTTTTATGAAAACTTAATGACTTATAGTCGTCTTTTCCTTGACTTGTATCAAATTTCGTAGCTAAAAATAGCAACCCTAAAAAAAAAAAAAAACAGTATAAAAATTTTAAAAAAATGTTCAAGACTTTTTTTTTTATTACAAGAATTTTTTTTTTATTATTAAAATATTTTTCTTAGATCCAATTTCAATTTTATACTTTATTTAGACTTCGTTTCCTTTTTTTAATATTAATTTTTATTCTCTGTGGATAAGTTTCGCTTTCCCACGAAATATTGCCGCGGTCACGTTTTCGGAAAAACTTATTCTATGCGTGGACAAACAAGGCGTGCGACCGCACGCCTTTCCTGGGAAAGCCTGATATATATATATATATATATATATATATATAATATATATATATATATATATATATATATATATATATATATATATATATATATATATATATTTATATAGTGGATAAAAAGTTCATTGATACAAGTAAATAAAAAAGGAACTGTTTACAACACACCTGATTACAAAATCAGGTTAATTGCTTACATTGCATCATTTATTTTGACAAATGCAACCTCTGATCCAATGTTATTAGGGTGACCATTGTTTTGGTTTACATAAGAAAACACATTGAAAATATTAACTAATGTTTTGTGATGCACTCTCCTATGTAAATTTTTGAAACAAAGTGCACGCTAATCATAACTTTATAAAAAGTTGATAACTTTATTTCTAAAAAAAATTAACACTTTAATATTTCTTATACACAAAAATATAAAAACATTTTAAAATTGTAGCAGTATTGAAAGGTATTGTTTATATTGCACCTTCATTATAACAGTATTGATTATATTAAATACTTGTTGCAGATTGTATATTGCTCGAGTATAAAAAGAAAAAACTCAATATTAAAATCTACAGGAAAGAACAATCAAACTCACTAGCATTAAATTTATCTACTTAGTAGTTTTACTTAATAATTCTTATAAAGCATCTATGATAGAGTCTAATCAGAATATACGCAAATGTATAAAAGGCCAATGGTAATTTTTAATTTTAGGCCAATTGTATAAAAAAAATTATTTCTTTGTTTAAATCATTTGATAAACTGTTTCTTACAATAAAGTTTGAGTTTGATATACTCAGTGACCAAACTAATACAAAAGCATCAGCAATTAATACCATAATATAGTGGAGGTGTTTGACAACAAGTTGACAACAAGTTGCTGTTGGCAACCAGCAATTTTTTTGATTAAGCACCATTAATTAAATTGATTTCTTCATGTTAAAAAGCATTAACAAACAAGACTTCATCATTAATTACATTAAATAATTTCTTGAAACCAAAATTGAAAAATCAGTATTATATCAGCCACAAAAGCAATAATATTTAGAAATGTATCCAATTCACCAATTTAAAATTTCAAACACAATTTATAAATGAAAAAACTTTTAATGAAACAGTAACAAATTTATTCAATCAGGATCAGACACTTTACTTATTTTTTATATTTTTAGTTGTGAAAACCAATCTACTAATCAGACAATAAGTCTGATTAGTAGATTGGTAAAAGGCAACCAGCAATCATACCTCTCACTATATTTTTCTCTACAAAGCTGAATTTATAGTTTTAAATTGAATTATACAATTTTTGAAAATAAAATTTCTGCATATTAGCAATTTCAATTTATCCTATGGTATTATTAAAACTAAAAACATGAATTTGCCTTAAGTACTTAATACACAGAAGAGGTTGTTTATCAATTTTCGGTGTTTCTTTTTCCCACCCACCCCAAGCTTATCAAGACCCCCTGTTTATTAATTTTTACTTGTTACCAACAAACAAACAAAAAAACATCAAAACTAAAAAAAAAATCAGAAAAAATATACATTAGTCAAGGATATGAATAAAAACTATCAGTGTAATCAGTTTAATTCTTAGCATAGTATAAAACTTATTAAGCATATTAAATTCAATTAAAACTATAATACTATGATGAAGCAGATGTTTAAAAATGTGCATTTGATTGTGAGCAACACTAGAATTACATTGTTTTATTTATGTTATGTAAAAAACTCCCAACCTCTTTTTTATAAAAACCAATTTTTATACAGCCATTTATTTTATTTCGTATCTCTATAAAGTATACTCAAGTAGTTTTTATCAATAATATTGATAAAAGATTGACACAAAGTCCCTATTCTTTCAGGAATTAAGAAATATGATAGGATAGTAATGGCAAAAGTAATACATTTTGCACTTATTTGAGTTTTAATTTTTTTTTTTTTTTTTTTAGGATTCTTATTTTACCATTTAACCATATCAGTTATTTGACTACAGGCACACTTGATACTGAGTGTTTGTTTGTTATAAACACCAACATATCCATTAAGTAATTAGAACTGAACAATTTAGTATATTGTAATTCTATTTATTCGTTTATTATAAAATGTTATTTCACGACATATTGAAAAATGTATT